GCTGCAAGGGTTTGACGGCATTTGGAGGGGAGTGTTGAGGAAGAGAAACGGGACGAAAGGATCCCATTTTTTAGCTCAAGTGTCTGGGTGGATATTATTACCAAAACCCAATTTTGGATTACAGAGAGGAAGCAAGAATTTGAAGCAGAGAAGGAAGAAAGAGAATGTGCTGTTTCTGAGTTTGAAAGTTTTGAGGAACATCCGAATAGAGATATCTAGGAAGCAGCTGGAAATATGGATCAAAATTGAAGAGTGTGTGTGTGTGTGTGTGTGTGTGTGTGTGTGTGTGTGTGTATTTATTTAAGAGTCATCAGCATGTAGAGACATGGAAATAGTCAGCCTTCAGAGAGTATTTAGAGCCAGGAGATGGCCCACGACTGTTTCTTAGAGAACAGCTACCATGTTCAGTTCGGGAAGAAAATGTTCTTGTTGTGTGCGCATATGTTCTGAAGTCACAGTACAAAATAAACAAAAGTATTCTAGTATACTCCCAAATCTTGTAAACCAATGCAGTTATTCATGCATTTTGGGGATTACATCTAACATGGTCATAATAAATCTACATAGTTGCCAAGGAGGGGGAAGTCATAGTAAACTGTTGGTGGTTTTGTTTCAGTTTGTATTTTTTGTTCCACTTCTCTCTCTAGTAATGAAGATAATAGAGAGTTGACCATATTAGTGATGTGTGATTTTTTTAAACAGCCTTTTATGCCCTTAAAAAGTTCTGCTTTAAAGCCTCGATTTAAAAAAAAAAGCCTTGATAAATGTAAAGAAACTTAAATCATATCAAGCATCTTTAATGACCACAGTGCTATAAGGCTAGAAATCAACTACAAGAAAAAGCTATAAAATCAAACATCTGGAGGCTAAACAATATGCTGCTAAACAACCAATGCATCATTGAAGAAGTCAGAGAAAAGTAAAAAGAACCCAGAGATAAGTGAAAATGAAAACACAGCGATCCAAAACCTATGGAATACAACAAAAGCAGCTCTAAGAGAGAAGTGTATAGTGATGCAAGCTTACCTCAGGAAATAAAAAGTCTCAGATAGCAACCTTATGCCTAGAGAAAGTAGAACAAACAAAACCCAAAGTTAGGAGGAGGAAATAAATCATAAGGATCAGAGAGGAAATAAATGAAAGTGAAAGTCGATCAGTTGTGTCCGACTCTTTGTGACCTCATGGGCTATACAGTCCATGGAATTTTCTAGGCCAGAATACTGGAGTGGATAGCCTTTCCCTTCTCCAGGGGATCTTCCTAACCCAGGCATCGAACCCAGGTCTCCCACATTGCAGGCGGATTCTTTGCCAGCTGAGCCACACTGGAAGCCCAATGAATGAAATAGAGGCTAAAAAAACAATAGAAAAGATGAATGAAAGCTGGTTCTTTGAAAAGAACCAATTTTGATAAACAAAATTGATAAACTTTTAGCTAGACTCACCAAGAAAAAAAGGAAGCGAGTTCAAACCAATAAAATCAGAGGTGACAAAGGAGAAGTTACAACTGATGCCACAGAAATAAGATCATGAGAGACTAGTATGAGCAAGTGTATGCCAACGAAGTGGGCAACCTGGAAGAAATGGACCAATTCTTAGAAAGGTACAATCTCCCAAGACTGAACCAGAAAGAAATAGAAAATATAAACAAATCAATGACCAGTACTAAAATTGAATCAGTAAAAACTCCCAACAAGCAAAAGTCTAGGACCAGGTAACTTCATAGGTGAATTCTAACAAACATTTAGAGAAGAGTTAACACCTGTTCTGAAACTGTTTCAGAAACTGCAGAGGAAGGAACACTTCTGAACTCATTCTATGAGTCCACCACCATCACCCTGATACCAAAACCAGACAAAGATATCACACACAAAAACTTACAGTTTTTGTGTAAATTATCACTGATGAACATGGATGCAAAAATCCTCAACAAAATACTAGCAAACCAACTCCAGCAATATATTAAAAGATTCAGACACCATGATCAAGTGGGGTTTTTCACAAGGATGCAAAGATTTTTCAGTATCTGCAGATATCATATCTATCACATTCACAAACTGAAGAATAAAAATCATATGAGTGTCTCATATACAGAAAAAGCTTTTGATAAAATTCAGCATCCATTTATGGTTAAAAAAACTCTTCTGAAAGTAGCCATACAAAAAAATTGAAAAATGAAATGAATTCCCTAGCAGTCTAGTGGTTAGGACTCTGCAATTCCATTTCAGGGGGCACAGGTTTGATCCCTGGTCAAGAAATGTGGGATCCACTCCCCACATGCCACAGCACAACCCAAAAAAAGGTGGGGGGGTTGAAAGTGGGCATAGAGGGACAATATCTCAATAAAGGCCATATATGACAACCCCCCCCGACCTAACATTATAGTCAACAGTGAAAGGCTGAAAGCATGTCCTCCAAGATCAGGAATAAGACAAGAATGCCCAGTCTTGCCATTTTTATTCAACATAGTTTTGGAAGTCCTAGCCACAGAAATCAAAGAAGAAAAATAAAAGGAATTCAAATAGGAAAATAAGTAAAACTGTCATTGTTTGTAGATGACATGATGCTATAGTTAGAAAATCCTAAAGATGCTATTAGTGAACTACTAGAGCTCATCAATGAATTCAGTAAAGTTTCTGGATACAAAGTTAATATACAGACAGGTTGCATTTCTATACTCTAACAACAGAATATCAGAAAGAGAAATTAAGGAAACAGTACCACTAACCATTGCATTAAAAAGAATAAAAGACCCAGGAATAAATCTACCTAAGGAGGGAAAAGACCTGTATTCTGAAAACTGTAAAATCCTTATGAAAGAAATCACACAGCAAAAATAGAAAGATACACCATGTTCTTGGATTGGAAGAATCAGTATCGTTAAAATGAACATACTACCCAAGGCAATCTATAGATGCAGTGCAATTTCTGTCAAATTACCAATGGCATTTTTCTCAGAACTCGGACAAAAAGCATTAAATTTGTATAGAGACACAGAAGACCCAGAATAACCAAGACAATCTTGTGAAAGAAGAATGAAGCTGGAGGAATCATACATCCTTACTTCAGACTATACTACAAATTTACAGTAATCAGAACAGTAGGGCACAAAAACAGATATGTACATCAATGGAATGGGGTAGAAAGCCCAGAAATAAACCCACACACTTATGGTCAATTAATCTATGACCAAGGAGACAAGAATATACAATGGAGAAAAGATAGTCTCTTCAACAAATGGTGCTGGGAAAACTAGACAGCTTCACGTACAAGAATGAAATCAGAATATTTTCTAACACCATATACAAAAATAACTCAAAATGGGTTAAAGAACTAAAACTGAAAACCATAAAACTCCTAGAGGAAAACATAGGCAGAACACAGACATAAATTGCAGCAGTGCTTTTTTGGAAACATCTTCTAGAGTAATGGAAAATAAAACCAAAAACAAACAAATGGGACCTAATTAAACTTTTAAAAGCTTCTGCACAGCAAAGGAAACCATAAACAAAATGAAAAGACAGCCTACATACTGGAGAAAATATTTGCAAATGATGCTACAGACAGGGGATTAATTTCTAAAATATACAAACAGCTCATATAGCTTAATATCAAAAAAGCAACCCAATAAAAAAAATGGGTGTAAGACCTAAATAGACATTTCTCTAAAGAAGACCTACAGATGGCCAACAGGTATATGGAAATATGTTGATATTGCTAATCATTGTGAAAGTGAAGTTGCTCAGTCGTGTCTGACTCTTTGCGACCCCATGGACTGTAGCCTACCAGGCTTCTCCCGAGTCCATGGTATTTTCCAGGCAAGTGTACTGGAGTGGGTTGCCATTGCCTTCTCCAGGGGATCTTCCCATCCCAGGGATCGAACCCAGGTCTCCCGCATTGTAGGCAGACACTTTACCCTCTGAGCCAGCAGGGAAGCCCATTCCTGCTAATCATTAGAGAAACGCAAATCAAAACGAGGTATCACCTCACAGCAGTCAGGATGGACATCATTAAAGAGTCTACAAATAATACCTGCTGGAGAGGGTGTGGAGAAAAAGAGAACTCTCTTAACACTGTTGCTGAGAAGGTAAATTGTTACAGCCAGTATGGAGAACAGTATTGCAGTTCCTTAAAAAAACTAACCATATGATCCTGCAGTCCCACTCCTGGGGATATATCTGGAGAAAACTATAAATAGAAAAGATAGATTCACACTAATGTTCACTGTAGCACTATTGACAATAGCCAAAACATGGAAGCACCTAACTGCCCGTCAACAGATGAGTGGATAAAGAAGATGTGATATATATATATATATAGTGCTTGTGTATGTATACACATATACATACACACAACCACACTACTCAACCATAAAAAAGAATGAAATAATGCCATTTGTAGCAATATGGATGGACCTAGGCACTATCATACTAAGTGAAGTCAGAGAAAGACATATCATCTGATATCACTTATATGTAGAATCTAAGAAAAATGATACAGATGAACCTATATGCAAAACAGAAACAGACTCACAGATGAAGAAAAACAAACTTTTGGTTACCAGAGGCGAAAGCTGGGAGGGAGAGGATAAATTAGGAATTTGGGTTTAACATGTAAATATGTAAAATAGATAAACAACAAGGGCTTGCTGTATAGCACAGGGAACTAAATTCAGTATTCTGTAAATATATAACTATATATTTAACTACATAAAAAATATATAAATGTATTTTTAAAAGAATATGTAATATGTATAACTGAGTCCCTTTGCTGTACACTTGAAATTAACAGAACATTATAAATTAACTATATTTCAGTTTTTAAAAATTCTGCTTTAAACTTGTCTTCACACGTCATTGTGCTAGGTTTTTGGCTTTTACCGACTGAATGAAATGTGATCGCTTCAAGGAAACTAGTCATTTTAGTCATCATGTTACGTTTTTCTCTTTAAAAATGATCGTGCTATTACGTTATGTCACTTTAATTGTTCTTTCCTTCCCTAGGAGCTGATGCAACAGAATGGGATTGGTTATGTTTTAAATGCCAGCAATACCTGCCCCAAGCCTGACTTTATCCCCGAATCTCATTTCCTGCGAGTGCCTGTGAATGATAGCTTTTGTGAGAAAATTTTGCCATGGTTGGACAAATCAGTGGATTTTATTGGTAAGTAGCTCAAGTGATATCGCTAATCCTTTGGGTTATAGTCTCGTGTATGAGTATACCCTGCCCTCCCCTTTTCTCTCAGTAGAGAAAGGGAACCTACTTCTCAGATTTCACAAGTCTGCAAACAAACATGAGCCGCTCGTCTCATTCCGTGGCCAGGTGACGTGTGTGCTGCGTGGGCCATGATGTCCCTGTGGGACTGGCCTTGTGACATCTTAGCTCACTCCAACATTCCCAGGGTTAAGCCTGATGGGACCTGCGATTACAGATTTGCGAGTGTTTGAAAGTGGGTTAAACTTTCTGGGATTAAACTTGCCAGCCACTTCATCAGATCCTCTAAAAGACTTCTGGAATCTCTGGTGGCATTCCTTAACCTCTTTCTGCCTTGCTGCTGTGCTTTCCCCAGAGAACAGCCAAGTCCTGTGGAAACTAATCCCATTACATTTAAAGTTTTTATGTCACAAGATTCCTAAGCCTCCATTTGTGTGCCAGCAATTTCAAGTATTAGTAGTACTGGGTCTAATGAAATTCCAACACACACACTCACATTCGTGTGGTCATTCCTTGGCGATGACTGTGACAGGGTCTGGTCTGGATGGCACTTTGTTCTGCTCACTGGGCCCGTCAGCCCTGGAGCCGCCCCAGCCCCAGCTCCCAGCTTCTGGCACTGCTGTGACATTTTTGGTGCCTTGAAATCAGGTCTGCTGGTAGGAAATCAATGACATTTACTTGAAATGTGGTTTTGGTGGAAAATGGTTAAACCAACGACATGGGTTCGTTGCTCCTGGGCAGAATGACTAGGTGTGACTCTTGATGTCCATGTGAGTTTTCGTTGGTTTTCCCCCAGTCATGAGCTGGAGGACCCTCATCCATAATTAAATACTCTCGAATTGATTACTGAAAGTGTTTTTTTAAAAAAGAGAACTGATTCCTTTTAAACAATGTAACTATGTAAATTAAGCCCCTCACTCTATCCTTTCATCTGTGAGAGGAATTTTCTAGACAGTGCTTTTGGAACTTTGGGTAATTTTGAAACAGATCCCCCTTTTCTCAAGATTTCAGATTGCCAAGACCTCTCTTTAATAGGCATGTATCCTGTGAAACACCAGAAGATAAATGGCTTAGATAATTCTCATGAAAATCATCACAAACTAAACTCCCGTAATTAATTTTTCCCGCCATTCTACTTCTAGGAAGTATTCAGCATATCATTCAGTGTTTGCCTGTTTGAAAGACGACGGTTATAGTTAATGTTCACATTAAATGTCACATTGATCCAGAGGTAATTGGCTCTGATTTCAGCTAAAAGTACGGTTTCAGAGTCTAAATTCAGAAGAAAACCTGATTTTGTTGAGTCATGACAGTGTCTAAGCTTTAGGAGGGTTGGTAGGAAAGAGGGAACTTTGCCTCCAGCTAACTTTTCTTCGATTTCATGGGAGCTATTGGCTGCTTTTAATTCATACAAAAGAAACTTTACCATGTTCCAAGTTGGTGAGATACATACCCAAATATATATTATAATTGTATATCTGAAGATATTTTTACTCACCAGTAGTTCACTTGCTTGGCCCTGTTTGCTGTTAGGGCCACCACCCTTTTCCCACCCAGACCATCCAGAGCAATACCTCCAGCCCACTGTGGAATTCAGCCTGTGTTCACTAGAGGTGCTGGTCTTCTCCAGGCCATTTAAAGCCTTGGTTAGTCATGGCAGAGAACACAAAGATGTACCCTCGTACCAGGACTTACGGACTTACAGGCTTGTACTTTTTATCATTCAGGTTAAATTTCAGTAAGTTCCTGGGTTTGTTGGAAAGGCTCAGGTTTGAGTGTTGCCTTTGCTTTTAGGAGAGGGAGGCAGAGGTGAGCACAATTGCCTGTCTGTGCTTGGGACCCTGACCAGGCCCCCAGCCCAGCTGACTGTACAGGCTCCTGCCCCACCTCCCCCACAGCAAACTCAGGGCTTTTGTAGGCAACACAGGGAGGTAATGAAGAGGATATACTTTGAAGCCAAACTGTATTTGAGTCCTGCCTCCCTTGGTTATCAGTTAAGTGATTCTGGGTGAGTTACTAAAAATTCTCTATTCCTTAGTCTACTGATCTGATGACTGAAGATAATGTATTTATCTTATATACTTATATAAATATTATATATAATATATATATACTTATATATTTATACTGTATACCTGTATATACCTTATAAGGATATTGTATGGATTAAAATAGATAATACATATAAACATTTGCATGGTGCTCGACTTGTAACTGGCTCTTAATAAATAGTAGGTGAATTAAAAAATTATCTGAGAAGCCTTTTTCTATTTTTTCTTAGAGGTGTACTCTGCCACTTCAGTTATTACTTCCTCCATTTTCACCTTTGTAACTTCTCCCCTTCATCCATTTCATTTGTTATCTTCTTTTTTTTTAATTAATTCATTTTTCAGTTGAAGGGTAATTCCTTTACTGAATTGCATAGGTTTCTGCCAGATATCAACATGAATCAGCCATAGGTATATACATATGTCCCCTCCCTCTTAAACTTCCCCCCACCTCTTTTTTAACCTAGAATTGATAAAAGAAAAATATAGGCAAAAATGAAAAATATATATATCTTTTTCTTATCCTTGGATTGTTGTAGTAGCAACCTGCTTTTGTTTTAATTTCCAGTTTTCCCCATCCATGCCTTCCTGTTGCCCCTATTCAACACCTGCAGAGGCTACTTAAGTGTCTCGGGTCCTTTGCCCGAGTTTCCCAGACTCTCCAGCAGCCGCTCCCCACCTCTGAACCTCCTGTTCAGTCCCTTCCCACCCAGCACGCACCAGGCAAGCCTCTTCTCTGAGCAGTGGTCCAGCCCCACTGTGGGTCTTTGTTGAATGTTTCCCTTCTCTCCTCCAGGTCTATGGGCATTCCTTCCTTTGCCTTAAGAGACTCAGTTTAGCACACAGTTCTGACACGAAATGTATTCTAATGAGCTCCACTTCCGTATAATCACTTTTTAATTAGATTTTTAAAATATATCATCCAAACAGTTGTAAAAGCAGTATAAGTACCACACAGAAAATTTGAAAAACAGAGAAAAGGAAACCTATACCCTCAACATCCTAACACATCTGTTATCATCATAGCTTTATTTCCTTCCAGCCTTTTTCAATTTTTTTTATAAAGATTACCTTTTAAAATATGTATCGGCCAGCTGGCCTGTGTATACAGGGTTTATACTGTGTGCTCAGTGTTCAGTACTTTGGAAGAGCGTTAGAAGCAAAACCCTTCTCGGCCCTTCGAGTCTAGTTCTGAGATAATTACTAAAAATGAGAGGATACTGTCAACATTAAAAAAATATTTCAAGCCAGCCTATTTCCAGTAAGAATTTGAAGCAGCTTACAGGAAGAGGTTGGGATCAGAAGGTAATACACATTCATCCATATTACCATTAAAATGGGATAGAAGATCAAGAACCAAGTAGTATGTGGCTAGCAAAGGTACAGTGAAATCCGAATCACAGTTCCCTGTTGAAATTGAGTGAAAACCTCGGCTTTGAGCTTCTCAGTAGCCAAGGTTAAAAGGAAGTACTAAGAGCAGTCCAGGCTAAATACTGACTAGTAAAGGGGGAAGAGAGCTGCGGAGGCCCAGGAAGTCATGGGCTTTGTGGACATGAGTTTATGTACTATTATGTTGTATAGTGTGTCCTTATTTCTTTGTTTCAATGTTGTCTTGTATTCCTTTGTTATTGTTTTATTGTGTTTGATTTCCCTATTTAAAGGGAAACTGCTTGATTGTTCATGTACTACCTCAAAGCCCTTCAGTGCTCTGTATATAACAAATAATACATCACGTACATTAGATGTTTGTAATATGTAAACAGAGGTGGTGAGACTGGAGCCTTGTATTATTCAGCTGCCAGAGCAGAGTCCCTGGGATAGCTGTTATTTACAAGAATATTAACATAAGGCTTGGTAAACTTTTGATAGTTAATCAGTGAAAACAAGAACGAAAAGGGAAGTTGATGGCAGCAGGTCAGCACACAGGTTAACTGTTCAGAATTGAGGCAGTCATAGTACCGACTGAAGTGGTGGTTGCTTCCAGGCTCTGGGGTAACTTCATCCTTACTCACGAGAAAGCTTTTAAAGCTCATCTACAGTGAGAGGTGGCAGGACTGTGATTGAATTTCCCTGGTTCTTGGTTCTAGCAGAGTCCTGCCATGTTATGGGCAGTGAGCATGACGCAGTGTGATAGTATGATCTCAGGGAAGAGGTCAGAGTTCCCTTGGTCCTCATTCAAGGACCTACTAAACCTGATTCATGGTGCACACATGGTTTCTCCTTGAGTTCAGCAAATAAAGTTCAGTGAGCCATTTTATGTCATAGCTCCTTCCAGCCTTTTTCAATTTTTTTTATAAAGATTACCTTTTAAAATATGTATCGGCCAGCTGGCCTGTGTATACAGGGTTTATACTGTGTGCTCAGTGTTCAGTACTTTGGAAGAGCGTTAGAAGCAAAACCCTTCTCGGCCCTTCGAGTCTAGTTCTGAGATAATTACTAAAAATGAGAGGATACTGTCAACATTAAAAAAATATTTCAAGCCAGCCTATTTCCAGTAAGAATTTGAAGCAGCTTACAGGAAGAGGTTGGGATCAGAAGGTAATACACATTCATCCATATTACCATTAAAATGGGATAGAAGATCAAGAACCAAGTAATATGTGGCTAGCAAAGGTACAGTGAAATCTGAATCACAGTTCCCTGTTGAAATTGAGTGAAAACCTCGGCTTTGAGCTTCTCAGTAGCCAAGGTTAAAAGGAAGTACTAAGAGCAGTCCAGGCTAAATACTGACTAGTAAAGGGGGAAGAGAGCTGCGGAGGCCCAGGAAGTCATGGGCTTTGTGGACATGAGTTTATGTACTATTATGTTGTATAGTGTGTCCTTATTTCTTTGTTTCAATGTTGTCTTGTATTCCTTTGTTATTGTTTTATTGTGTTTGATTTCCCTATTTAAAGGGAAACTGCTTAATTGTTCATGTACTACCTCAAAGCCCTTCAGTGCTCTGTATATAACAAATAATACATCACGTACATTAGATGTTTGTAATATGTAAACAGAGGTGGTGAGACTGGAGCCTTGTATTATTCAGCTGCCAGAGCAGAGTCCCTGGGATAGCTGTTATTTACAAGAATATTAACATAAGGCTTGGTAAACTTTTGATAGTTAATCAGTGAAAACAAGAACGAAAAGGGAAGTTGATGGCAGCAGGTCAGCACACAGGTTAACTGTTCAGAATTGAGGCAGTCATAGTACCGACTGAAGTGGTGGTTGCTTCCAGGCTCTGGGGTAACTTCATCCTTACTCACGAGAAAGCTTTTAAAGCTCATCTACAGTGAGAGGTGGCAGGACTGTGATTGAATTTCCCTGGTTCTTGGTTCTAGCAGAGTCCTGCCATGTTATGGGCAGTGAGCATGACGCAGTGTGATAGTATGATCTCAGGGAAGAGGTCAGAGTTCCCTTGGTCCTCATTCAAGGACCTACTAAACCTGATTCATGGTGCACACATGGTTTCTCCTTGAGTTCAGCAAATAAAGTTCAGTGAGCCATTTTATGTCATAGCGGAAAGTCTCCTGGAGAAAAATGGGGAAACTATTTTTCTATGAGGAAGAAGGGTTCTGTGAGTTGACATTTAAGATTCTTGATTTGGCATCTTTTTATGTTGTAATGTAGTGTCATTGTGACTAGGTCCTCCCTCCCCACCTCCCTGCTGTTTACACAGTAATGTGTCACATATGTTTAAAAGGAAAAAGTGCTTTTAAAATTTAATCTCATATATTTAAATCATTATGTCATACACCTAAAATATGTTATATGTAAGTTGTTTCTTAAAACTGGAAAAAGGTCTCTTATGTAATTAGCAAAAAGCTAAAGTGTCAGACAACGTGGGTAAACAAAATATTAGCTAAAATCTTAGGATTTTGGATGTTATTTTCTTGTATACTATTCTGTATTTTTGAAGTTTTCTATGCCAAGCAAGTAGAATCATGTGATCACAATCTATGATTTATACTCAGGGAGAGTAATAAAAATAATACATAATGTAAAAAATGCAGTGAAATGTATTGAATGAGAGGCAACCTGGATTAGGGACAAGTTGCTTATTAACACATGTGGGGACCTTCACTGTTCTCTATGAAAATGGTGGGGAAATCGTGTTCCCTACCTCCTTAAAAGAATATTGAAAGGAAAAATAGATAAGTATCAAGAGAGGGACATTACTTTGCGTCGGCAGGTGAAGGACACTGTGTGAGTATATGGAAACATGACTTTACTGCTGAGCAAAGTTGTTAATGATCTTTTCTGAATTTGACTCCTACAGAGAAAGCAAAAGCCTCCAATGGATGTGTCCTTGTGCACTGCTTGGCAGGGATCTCCCGCTCCGCCACCATCGCCATCGCCTACATCATGAAGAGGATGGATATGTCCTTGGATGAAGCTTACAGGTGAGGACAGGAACATGCCCTGTGTGAGTGGCTTCTCCTTTGACCTGAATCATGAGGAGATATGAGAGTGGGTGACCACGATTATTTTAGTTAACACTCTTTACAGGTGACTTGATTTTTAAATGTTTCAAGGTTGGAGAAAAATGTATTTTTATAATTTAGCACTAATTCTACCCTCCCATGAATCAAGTTCATCCTCAGCTGCTTTATTAAGTTTGAAAAAAGTGAAAGTATTAGACACAGTCATGTCCAACTCTTTGCGACCCCATGGACTGTAGCCTGCCAGGATCCTCTGCCCATGGGGTTCTCCATGCAAGAATACTGGAGTGGGTTGCCATTCCCTTCTCCAGAGGATCTTCATGACCCAGGGATCGAACCTGGGTCTCCTGCACTGCAGGCAGATTCTTTACCATCTGAGCCACCAGGGAAGTCCTGAGTTTTTTTAAGTTTAAGAAACAGCAAAGCTAGAGATCTTTCCCTAATTGGAGAAATATCATTTGTTCTAATTTACACATGAGAAAAAATGCTCCAGGAGAATACTCATTATAGAATTCGTACTGTACTTCAGACTCTCTCTCGCTTTCACTGAGGATAAAGTCCAGTATATGTAAGTATAAAACCAAATAATTGTCAAACTCCATTCACAATCTAGACTTGCCCAGTTTTTTTTTTTTTTTAATATTTATTGAAGCATAATTGATTTACAATGTTGGCAATTTCTGCTGTGTGGCAAAGTGATTCAGCTATACAGACACATATTCTTTTTTATATTCTTTTCCATTATGGTTTGTCACAGGATATTGAATATAGTAGGACCTTGTTATTTATCCAGCCTATATATAATAGTTGGCACCGGCTAATCCCAAGCGCCCAATCTCCCCCCCACCCCCGCTTTCCTCCACCTTAGCAATCACAGGTTTGTTCTTATGTCTGTTTCTGTTTCGTAGATATGTTCATTTGTGTTGTGTTTTAGATCCCACATAGAAGTGACAGCATATGGTATTTCTCTTTCTGACTGCACTTAGTATGATAATCTCTAGGACCACCCATGTTGTTGCTACTGGCATTATTTCATTCTTCTTCATGTCTGAGTAATATTCATGTGTGTGTGTGTACACACACATCTTCTTTATCCATTCATCTGTTGGTGAACATTGGTGTTAATGTATTTTTTGAAATTATACTTTTGTCTGAGTTTATGCCCAAGAGTGGGATTGCTGGATCATATGGCAACTCTATTTTGTTTTTTGAGGAACTTCTGTACTGTTTTCCATAGTGGCTGCACTAATTTACCTTCCCAGCAATGGTGTAAGAAGGTTCCCTTTTTCCCATAACCTCTCCAACATGTATTATTTGTAGACTTTTCAGTGATGGCCATTCTGATTGTGGGAGGTGATATCTCACTGTAGTTTTGATTTGCATGTCTCTAATTAGCAATGACAAACATCTTTTTCATGTCCCCATTGGCCATCTGTATGTCTTCTTTGGTGAAATATCTATTTAGGTCTTCTGCCCATTTTTTTATTGGATTGTTTGTATATTTTAGAAATTAAGCCCTTGTCAGTCACATCATTTGCAAATATTTTCTCTCATTCCTTGGTTGTCTTTTTGTTTTATGGTTTCCTTTGCTGTACAAAAAGCTCCTAAGATTGATTGGGTCCCATTTGTTTATTTTGGTTTTTATTTCTATTACCTTGGGAGATGGTCTTAAGAAAACATCAGTACAATTTATGTCAGAGAATGTTTTGCCTGTGTTTTAGGAGTTTTATGGTGTCATGTCTTATATTTAAGTCTTTAAGCCATTTTGAGTTTATTTTTTATGTATGGTGTGAGGGTGTGTTCTAACCTCATTGATTTGCATGTGGCCGTCCATAGACTTGCCCAGATTTTGCAGTGTATAATTTTGACTGGTTGCCCCCAATCTCATTCTCCAGACAGAAGGCAGCCAGTGACGGCAGCACCAAGGACTGGGGTTGTGTTGAGGGACATATGAAGCAGAGCCCTCTATGTATCTTGTTGGATAGAGGTGCTTAGTCTCCATGGGATAACGGATCAATAAATATATGCACACAGAACCAGACCTGTTGTAACAATAGGATTTTTTTTCTCAAATTGGAAAATTTGGAACAAAGAAATGAGCTACTCGAACAGTCTCTCACTGGAGGAAGGAAGTGGGAAGGCAGGTCCTCCTGAACCCCACACAAACCAGCAGGAAAGGCACCCTCATATCCTCACAGGGGATCTTAGCATGAAGACCCTGTATTTACACTTGTCACAGTGAACCAGTTATTTCTGGCTTTGTTAATTTTTGCTTTAGGTTACGTATTTCTAAGGAGTTTATTTTTGAGTTTTCTCTTTCCTTCCTTATTCAAATTCTTAGAGTAGTTTCACTCCTTCATCTTCTGAGGCGTGTCCGTGAGAGTCAGCGGCCACTAAAGAACATATCTACTATTTCTGAATCTTTGTTTCTGCAATAAAATGGAAAAGCTGTTTACTACTAGTTTTGACTAGTTGGTGACTCTTTTAACAAGGTGGTTACAGGAATGAATCCAGATGTTAGACCTGGTTTTGAATCCCAGCCCCATCCTTTAATAACTGTGTGACTGGGGCAAGTCACATAAGGACTGTGTGTACCTCCGTGATGGAGGGTAGTTTTGAGGGCTGAATGAGCTAATACTCTTGTTAGTGCATTAACATCATGCTTAGCAGACAGTCCACTGTGTGACTGGTTATTCTGTCCCATTAAATACAAAGAGCAGGGAACTGAGAAGTGTGTGCTTTGAAGCTCTGGCCATCTGATACCCTCTCTCTTTTGGTCATTAATTATAGATGTGAAATTTCTCGAAGTCACTGTGGGGACTCTCACATTGGAAAGTTGAAGGTGGTGTGCCTGTTAAGCTATACTTCTGATGGGAACACCAGTGCAGGGGCGGGGGTGGGGGTGTCCCAGGTGGTGAGGAAAGAATCATCTCTTATCAGCTGCACGGGAAACCTTGTGCACATGCTGAAGTCGCTCAGTCGTGTCTGACTCTTTGCGACCCCATGGACTGGAGCCCACCAGGCGCCTCTGTCCATGGGGATCCTCCAGGCAAGAATACTGGAGTGGGTTGCCATGCCCTCCTCCAGGGGATTGTACGCAGGTCTCCTGCCTTGCAGGCGGATTCTTTACCATCTAAGCCACCAGGGAAGCCCAAGAATACTGTAGGGGTTAGCCTATCCCTTCTCCAAGAAAACTTGCCAGCCCAGGAATCGAACTGGGGTCTCCTGCATTGAGGTGGATTCTTTCCCCCAGCACGGCCGCCGACGACGGCCCCCTGATCCAGGCGCTCAACGGGCTCCACCTGCCCTCGGACAGGCTGGAGGACAGTGGCCGCCTCAAGCGCTCCTTCTCACTGGACATCAAGTCAGTGTCCCCGACTCCCGGCGGTCTCTCATCGCCCGAGGCCGCCCTGGAGCTCTACAAGCCCGCCACCTCCGGCCTGGAAGGCGCGGGCAAGCCCTGCCAGCCCTGCCAGTTCTCTCCGGTGCAGGAGGTGTCAGAGCAGACGCCGGAGGCCAGCCCGGACCGCGAGGAGGCCCCGCCGCCCCGGCCCTCCGACGGCAGCGGCCAGGGTGCACGGCCCCGGCCGGGGCGGCCCCTGTGGTCACCCCTGCACCGCAGCGGGAGCGTGGAGGACCGCGGGCAGCCCCGCTTCCTCTTCGGCCTCTCGGCCAGCCAGCAGCACCTGGCCACGTCGGCCACGGGGCTGGGCCTGGAGGGCTGGCACTCGGACCTCCTGGCCCCCCAGACCTCCGCCCCGGCCCTGACCAAGAGCTGGTATTTCACACCAGAGCCCCCGCACTTCTACTCAGCCTCGGCCGTCTATGGGGGCCGCGCGGGCCACCCTGCCTTCAGCTGCAGCCAGCTGCCCACGTGCGGCGGGGACCCCGGGCACTCGGTGCGCCGGCGCCACAAGCCCGGCGACAGGGCCGACTCCCGGCGCAGCTGGCACGAGGAGAGCCCCTTCGAGAAGCAGTTCAAGCGTCGAAGCTGCCAGATGGAGTTCGGTGAGAGCATCAGGTCCGAGAACCGGTCGCGGGAGGAACTGGGCAAGGTGGGCAGCCAGTCAAGCTTTTCAGGCAGCATGGAAATCATCGAGGTCTCCTGAGCAGGAGGACACTTGTGACTCCCGTGGACAGGACTTGTCTTGTTCACGAAAACTAATTCCCTGTAAATCTGAAATATGTATATGTACATATATATTTTTGGAAAATGGAGCTATGGTGTAAAAACAACACATGGATCCACACCGTTCTTTTTTAACATCTGCAGTTGAGAGAGCAGCTAATACTTCTCTCAACACAAATGGAAGGGTCCAGGCCAGCTTTCCCCCAGACACGTGACACAGTTCTATGCAATGGATTGCACATCCTCCCGTTCTTACTAGACTGAGTTCTGCTTGGAGTTAGAGGACGGAAGCCCCCACCGTTCTCTTGTTGTGCTACAAAGAGATCTCAGATCCTAGTCCTGTCTGGTCCCTTCCGTAGTGCACCTTAGCGCTGAGACTGAGCCAGCCTGTGGGTCGGGCGGGGAGACCCCGTTAGGAACAAAACCTAATGGTAAATCCACAAAGAACCATCATGTCCAAAGCCGATGCACAGATCCAAGCGCACCCGCCAGCCGCTGCGCTGGCTGCCAGCGTCATTCTGCTGACCGACCATTAGGGGGCCTTGCTAAGACCTACTTTAGAGCAACCCCAGTACCTCAGACAGAAAGTCGGGGCTTTCACCACTACCAGGTCTGGTGGCCCGGTTTCTAGGCATTGTGAACAGGTAGGTAGCTAGTCACACCTTTCGACCAATTTAGACGGTCTCTGCAGGCATTTCCAGTTAGGCCTGGATGGAAGTGGTCTGGCTCCTCTTCTTCTCGGCTTTGTGAAGAAGGAAGGTGAAGCTATCTGAGATCAACTGAACAGCCAGGAATCTGGCAGCATCATGATTTAAGCTAATGTTGGGAGGCTAAATGAGTCTACCTCCCTCTTTCTAAATCAAAAGAACTGTTCAAGATGGGCTTGTTAATCTTGGGAAGTAAAGGTTAACCTGGTTTCAAGCCAGATGTGAATTTATTTGGTAGCAGAGCAGCACCCCCTTCAAGGTCTCAGCCAAACTAGGTATTTTCTATTTTGGTTTCACTGCACAGAGGTATTTTGTGAAAATGGAACAATAAGGTGGAATTTTATTGGAAACTACCAAGAGGCAGAAAACTGTGGAAGGATAAGAGAAGATAAAATTACTGAGGAGCAGCAGGGGGCTGTTATTTTCTCAGTGGGTTTTTTTTTCCCCCTTAGCATGTGACGAAGGTGGTATTTTCTGTGATTTCCTTAGGCTTTCATACTGTTAGGGCTGAGAGGCTTTCGTAAGCCTGGAGTGCTCAGAACTAAAGGGTATAGAAAGGTGAGGAGGAGGCGGACAAATTTTGTTTCATCACAAACAAGAGTGGAAAGACACACCCACGCTATTCTCAAACTACCCCCAGCATTTTTTAGTAGAAGGGACACCAAAATGGAGAGGGACCAAGTGGTCTCAGTCCGTACCTACAATCACTGTATGGAATCAACCCTGGCAGCTGAAACTAGGTGATTAGAACAAGTAAACAAGTGATAGTACTTACCTGCTTTTAAACTTCCTGGCTTGAGTTTTGTCAGCTACAGTCTGGTCCTGTTTTGAAGCCGTAATTCACGTCAGCAGCTTTTTTTTTTTTTTTTTAAGGGTGGTGGGTGGGTGTTTGTGTTGTTCTTTACTGTAAGTGTAGCTAGTTGCTGACTCATATCTCAGGTTTTTCTACGTGTGAGAAATGGACAGTCCTTTGAGTCGGATGTGACTTCATGTTTCTTATGGTGACTGCTAAAACCAGCATAGAGTGAAATGATTCAAAACTGACTTGATTGTGACAATTCTGAGCTTCGTAGAACATAACTGGTTATGCACAAACAATGGGCTGTGATATGGGTGTAAAATGAGAGTAAACTGTGTAGGGAGTGCATTGTTACCATACTGGAAAGGTTCTGTTAAGTGATTTAGCTTTTCTCTATACATGCAAATTCTGGGTGTAATCAGACCCAATTATCAAGGTTTCACATACTGATTTTTGATGTGTTACATACACACGCACCAACTGTGTAACAGCTCCCAGCTTCCAGAGTCTGGTCACAACTGTGGAACATTTTTGAGAAGTGAAAGCAATGGCTCCAATGCTGTATGTTTCAGGAAGGTTGTGGGATTTGGTTTTACTGAGGTATTAGGGCTGAACTGGCCTTCCAACCTTCGGAATTTCTCTTGGCCATGGTCCCCTTCCTTCCTGTGACCGATGTGGTCCTATGTTACAGCTTTTAGTTCTTGATCGCTAATGTCAAATAATCAGCCCTCGGAATGGAGACTTCCCAGCTGAGGGGACAGCCTCTCGGGCCAGCCCTGGAGCCACATGGGTGGCCATGGGCCCCAGGTGGCTGGTTCTCTGCACCGTGAATCAGAGGGGGAGTGCTGGAGCCTACCAGATGATACAGAATGGTGATATTAAACAGCAGAACTAGACTTCGATGTGAGAAATGCTGGAAAATGGTTTAGGACATTTGTAAAGTTGGGTGGGAAGACTGTATAAATGTGTAATATGAATATAGTGTTCTTTTGGAGTAAGGCAAGCTGTTGAATGGTTACAATTGTGCATTTCTCATTCTGATGTGTCATGAATGTTAATATGATGAAATAAAATCAAAACTGGTACCTGTTTATACATAAATATGAGAAGGGACCTCTCTCTGCAGCACGTCCAAGGGGTTAGGGAGGCCGTGGTGGGGCCTGGCCTGCTGGCCTCCCATCAGAGGGTTCAGCTCAAGGTGAAACGCTGAGTCCTCAGCCTGTGTCACAGGCTCCATCTTGCACACACGTGGGAGCTAAGTCTACTGCCGTCATCGTCATCCTTTCACGGGTACATCAGATGCACACTATGGCATAGAAACCTCAAAGGTAAACATTTGCTGATTGGCTGAATCCAGAATGGTTCAGGGTAGGAAGAAAAAAGACAAACATTCATGGTGCATTTTGTAAAGTTTTAGAATTCTTGCAGGAAAAACTGAGGGAGAGTAGTTATTTCAAGATCTGTTCTCCATCCTTGTCACCCACGTCCTGATGACCTCTGCTTCTAAGTGATGACAGTGGGCACGACGACTCATGAGACTAGAAGCTCAACCTCATCAGGTTGTTAGTGAAAAAAAAAAAAGATGATGCATTAAAGGAATAAAGCATTTACCTTCAGTGCAAGCAGACAGGATACTGATGACACTGATAGTCACAGGTGACATCATTTCAGTTGGTTGTGAAAGGCTTCTGAGCTGAAGTTAGATTTAAGGAAATTTAAAAGAAGGAAGAATTGGACAGAGTGAGTGAAGACCAGAAAGAGCTGTCTTGGCTAGGACCTTGCCAAAAAGTGGACATGGGTATGGGACAGAGGAACAGAAAGACAAAATGTTAGTTGCTCAGTTGTGTCTCTCTGTGACCCCATGGACTGTAGCCTGCCAGGCTCCTCTGTCCATGGGAGTCTCCAGGCAAAAATACTGGAGTGGTTGCCATGCCTTCCCTACCCCAGGATCAAACCCAGGTCTCCTACATAGATTCTTTACTGCCTGAGCCACCAGGGAAGGCGTAGGAATAAATCTGCCTCAAGATGTAAGGTGGCAGGAGGGAGCACGTGCCTCGGTGAGGCTTTGGATGAGAACTTGTAGGTGTTTGGAAGGCCCGGAGGTCAAGCCAGTTGTGACTTAGACAGACTTAAGGGCCTCTAGGGGATCACCAGCTGTAGCAGGCTGGCATCGAAGGGCTAGTTTGGGTGTGACATGACCAGACCAGGGCTCAGGCTAAAGGGAAGCAGGGTAGGTGCAGATGTGAAGGGTCAGGCATACACAATGGGACACGTGGACACGAACTTCATCATCAGGATGAAGTTCACCGTCATTTTATCTTAGATACTCCTGTCTGGTGGTTTTCCTTTTCTGACACTAAGCAGAAATGTTTTTGGTCTAGTAAACAAAATTTAGGTCTAGGGGCTTTTTCTCTATAAATATTAGTCTTCTGCTTCTATCAGTGAAAGAGGAATGTGAGTTATTTCTTGCATTGTGTGTGGCTCATTCATCCTTGTACAGCAAAATTATACTTGGTTATTATCTTTGAAATGTTGCAAAAATCAACCATGAGAATTACCACAGCACCAACTTGGAAGAAGGTGCAAGTCAATCATACTGTTGCAGTTTACGTACACAGATACCAAGCTGGTTATCTATATCAAAGGAATAAAAACAAGTTTCATTCCTTTGCTTCTGGCTAACACACTGGAGTTGGTTCAAAATGCTTTCTTGTAGGACATGCAGAATATGACTTTGGAGGACGGTGTCACAAGCAAACAGGATAACTGGAAGAGGGTTATTAGCTCAGCAGTGGCCTAGCTTCTCTGGTCAGGGGAAGTATGACAGTTTCAAAGACTGTATTAAAAGTTTTTAGCATAAATCTTGCTTCACTATATAATAAAAGGTAGCAGCAAGAATTTGCCTTGATTGGTGAAGAAAATTAATTGAATCATCAATAAGTTCCATCCTGTCTTTATGTTGACACTGATGACCCTGAACAAACTCCTTAGAGTAATAGACACACACACACAGACAGCCCACCACATCAGTACTGCTTATACTAATAAGCAACTAGATTTAGTTGCCAAAAAAGTTCTAACATTATGGTTTGAAGCATGGGAATAATTAGGTTTTCTGGTTACCCTTTCCTTCTGTAGTCCCAAAATCTGCATGGGAGGTACATGCCTCGTGTGAGTGCAAGAAATTAAGTGTTACCGACCACAAACCAGAAAACAAGGATGACATCTCTTAGGCACTGTGTAGCTCTTAACAAAGGAATGAAAGTCAGGGTGAAGGGAAAGCAAAATTAATTCTCTCACAATTAAAAAACCTACACCTAAAAATTCCACAAGAAGATATTTCCCTTCTCTCTATTCTGCCCTTCAGTTTTTAGCATCAACATTTCAAATTTCCAACTGAGTACTACATATCTGGGTTTAGCTGAGGGGTAAACAAAATAGGAAGATAAAATTTTTAATTACTCTAGGAAACAGCAAACCCATCACATTCACAAAATCTGTTCAAAAAAGTAAAGTATTGAGGAGGGAAAAGTAAAATGTTACCAGTCAGGGTTCAATCCCTGAAGAACCATTAGGAATGATATAGAATAAGGAGGTTGTTCAAGAGACTTACCTTACACAATTAATTAGAGGAGCTGGTCAGAGTCCTGGTTTGGCTATTTCTTCTCCACCGGAAGTCGCTAGGCAGGTGGTCAGGAAAGCAGCTGGATGGGCGGTGGGGGATGGATGGATGGATGGGGTGATGGGGATGGATGGGCGATGGAGGATGGAGGGATAGGCGGTAGAGGACAGAGGGATAGGCGGTGAGGACAGATGGATGGATGGGTGGTGGAGGATGGATGGATGGGCGGTGGAGGATGGACGGATGGGCAGTGGGGGACAGTGGGATGGAGGGGCAATGGGGGATGGAGGGATAGGCGGTGGACACCTGAAGCCTGCAACAAGCTAGAACCAGCATCTGTCTCCACCAGAACCCACGCTGGCCTCGTCTGTTTTCTAAGCCCTCATCCTCTGTGCTGCCAAAGACCTAAGGAGATGCTGGTGCTCATTCATACCTAACCCAAGATGCTGAAAAGCTGAAGGCAGAGTTCTGGGGAGCTGGCCTAGCTTCTGCCCACACCATAGGTGCAACAGATCCCTGAAAATGTGCAAGAGATGCAACAGGGCCTGACCGACAGGGACTTTCATCAAACATGCATATATGTTGCTTTACTTCCACTAACAAATCTCATGCAAATTTCTCTTGTGGCCAACCCTAATTGAAAAGGGACAGGGAAGGGGATTCCAGGAAATGTAATCCAATTTGGCCAAAGTTGACAACACTGCAAAACCACCACATACCAGAGATATTAAATTAACTAGAATTATTTCAAAACACATCAGATCTGCCTATTGTTCTTACTGCCCTGCCTCTTCCCACTATAAGTAGCCTGTGGACCCAAATCTAAGTAATACCATGTTTTGTCTAACATCTTTATAAGAAGGAAAAGAACTGGATGGAGAGCTGGCTGGCAGAGTTGTTTTGCACGCTGTGCTAGGTTGCCTTTCTGCACGTACAAACCAGAGGAAAGCTCTGTCCTCATAGGCTTAGTCATGTGTCACTGTGTTATGTGCTTTTATTTATAAATTGTATTAACTGCAGTGAGGATAATGGGCCTTGCCCCTTGGGTTTTTTTTCCGGTTGGTTGGCCACCCGGCCTTTCTTTTTTTGAGGGTTTTAGGTTCTTTGTTTTTCGGACCCGGTTTTTGTTTTCCCGGGACTTCAAAGGCCATTGTTGTTGGGGGTTGAAAATTGCCCGTTTTTTTCGTTTTGTGGGAGGGGAGGTTGGGACGGCTTGTTTTTTTTTTTTTCGGTTTTTTTGCCGTTTTGCGTTTAAAAAAAAAGTTGAGTTTGGGGAAAGGGGGTTTTTTTTTTGGCCCCGGCGGTTTTTAAATTTTTTTTTGAATTTTTATTTTTAAAGTTTTGAAAAAAAAAGAAAAACAGCATGAAACAGTATGAAGACAAAGATCAATGGATTCAAATAAAGTCCAACACCAGATTCTCAATTACATGAAAATTTAATACACAAGAGGAACACTGCAATGTGGCAGTGGGTGGGGGGCATTATTTAACAAACATTGTGGCCTTCCCATCTGTGACATTTCCTAGAGTAATCTTAGCTACTCAACAGGTTTCTAAAATTACAGAACATCTTTCCTGATGTGAACTCTGATGAATTGCTCCAGAAATGGTTCAAAGCCCCACTGAAATCCCGACCATCAAAGGCATTTATAAAGACAAGCTTCTCAGGGCACCCAGAGATGGTGCTCTGGGACAACCTAGAGGGACAGGGTGAGGAGGGAGGTGGGAAGGGGGTTCAGGAGGCGGGGAGACCACAAGTATAGTTGTGGCTGATTCACATTAACGTATGGCAAAAACCACCACAATACTGTGAAGTAATTACCCTCCAATTAAAATAAATAATTTAAAAAAAAAAACAGGAGGGAATACAACTTGGAAAAAAAAAGAAAAAGAAGAGCTTCTTTCACCAGAATGGCCCCCAAACCTCTGACCTCTGAGTCTAGCTCCCCACTCCCAGTGCAGAGCTTCCAACCCCTCCCTGGCTCCCTCAGGCCACTTCACCTTCCTGGACTGGGTGTCTACCCACTTTCCTCATGGTGCAAAGAAGCGGTTCCCAGAAGGGTGCCCTCTGAGGAAGGCAGACACCATCTTGGCCTCTGCATTTGGCTCTGGGTTCCAACCTGTCTTTCCGGCTCCGAGAGAGTGACATCTTGATATGTCTTGGTCCCTAGAGAATTCTAGAAGCTGTTGATTTTTATACCATGTCTAAATTTTAGAAAATTATATTTTCCATTGAGCTTCGAATGTTTATACTTGAGCCATCATGCAGTTGTTTTATGCTCTACATTTTACTCTGGGTTCTAAGAACCTTGCAGGATAGTGTTTGATCAAATTTGATCAAAATCTGATTAGAAGAATCAGATGACGTTTACCTGAGAGATGCTACATTAAGTGGGATCAATTTTAACCTTATAAATATACCGAAGGCTGTTTGGACACGTAAAAAGTCACCCTCTGAGGTCTGGAGAAACCTCGGGAGCCCCGTGGGCCCCAGTGACCTCCGTCTATCCCCAGCTCCTGGTCTCCGTCTTCCGGCCTGGGTCAGTCCTGCATTCCATTTCTTGGCTTCTGCAGTCTTCTCGTCCGCTAGAACCTTTATGACGTGCAAAGTACTGTGCTAAGAACTTCTGTGGTTCCTCAAATTGCTTCATTTCCTAAACTCCCAGAGAAATTCAGCAGTGCTTGGAGAAAGTGCTTTCTTCAGAAAAGAAGGGCAGGGACTACACACCCCTTTCTGCATGCAGACACAGTGTCTGGCCCAGGCAGTGGGCCCCGTGGATGCCTCTGGGTGTGCACTTTTCCTCTCCGCTCCACGCATCTGTGAAACTGCTAAAGCGATGCTGGCTAAAACCTGCTTCAGAAACTGGAGTCCTGCCAACGCTGATGTAACAAGAGGAAACCTAAACTATGTCTGCATCAAGGAAACCCATTATCAGTGGGAGACGGACCCAACCAGGCTGTGGAAAGGGAGGCTTCAGTTTCCAATGATGACACGGCAGGGACACCCTAAGCTGTCACAGGAGCAATGCCAGCTCCCTGCCAGGCCAGATCGAGACTGGCTGCAATGGAAACATGACACGCACACCTGGATTAAGTTAGTTCTTTATCTTTACAACCCGGACAGCCTATGGAGAAAAATGTCACAAAGGCATCAGGGACACAGGGCTTCCTCAAATCCTCTTCCCCCTTCTCTTCATAGTTTCAGTCTGCAAGCTAGATTAGATAATATACATTGTCAATTTAAAAAAAAGCAAACTAAATTAAAAAATAATAATTCCCAAGGCAGGGTTCTGTAGAGAATTCCTAAGAGTTCAAATATTCCCACTTCAGAGACCAGGGAGGGCAGGTTGGTTGGCTTTGCAGGGGAAAGTGCGTCAAGGGGAGAGCTGGGGCATCACAGGTCTCCAGGGCAACGGACTGCCTCCCGTGCCCTCAGGGAGCACCACACTCCCCTGACCTAGGTCACCTCCTGTGTCTCTGATTCCCAAGGCCCGGAGCCCTGGCGGTGCTGGGGGACGTGGCTACAGCCTGAGCTCGCGGTCGGGCTTCACGCTGAAGGGCTCCAGGCGCTCGGCCTCGGGCAGCAGGCTGTTGAGCCGCTCCAGCAGTGGTACCGTTTGGTCTATGCCCATCTGGATGCGACGCAGGATGGCTGACATCTCGTTGACCTTTTGGATCTGCTCGGCGTATTTGGCGTACCTTTTCTGGCGCTCCTGCATGAAGCTAAAGAGGGTTTCTACAGACAGATCCATCTGCAGGGGCGAGAAAAGTGAGACACGTTCAATCCGGTGGAAACAAGTCGGTGAGAGGATGGGGCCAGGCTCCGTGAGCAACAGGTGTGGAGCACGGGCCACGTGGGGGAGGACTAGCATTCCTGGAAGTGGACTCATGGGGGACGAAAACCTTCCTGAATGTGGCTGGAACCCTCCGCAGTGGGAGTGAGGTGAAGGGCTCCAGCTCCAGTTCTGGGTGTGTGAGCCACTTAGTCCTGGGTGAGGCCCAGGGAGTTTCTAGCTTTTTTTCTCTAAAGAAAGAATCCTGTGCTGGGAAATCAGGCAGATGGGGTTTGACTCTGGTTCCACCCTTGTATAGATGGAGAAGCTCTATAAATCAGCAAAAACAAGACTGGAAGCTGACTGTGGCTCAGATCATGAACTCCTTATTGCAAAATTCAGACTTAAATTGAAGAAAGTAGGGAAAAGCACTAGGCTGTTCAGGTATGACCTAAACCAAATCCCTTACGATTATACACTGGAAGTGAGAAATAGATTCAAGGGATTAGATCTGATAGAGTGCCTGAAGAACTATGGACAGAGGTTCGTGACACTGTACAGGAGGCGGTGATCAAAACCATCCTCAAGAAAAAGAAATGCAAAAAGGCAAAATGGTTGTCTGAAGAGGCCTTACAAATAGTTGAGAAGAGAAGTGAAAGGCAAAGGAGAAAAGATATATCCATCTGAATGCAGAGTCCCAAAGAAAAGCAAAGAGAAGTAAGAAAACCTTCCTAAGTGAACAATGCAAGGTAACAGAGGAAAACAACAGAATGGGAAAGATTATAGAGATCTCTTCAAGAAAATTAGAGATACCAAGAGAACATTTCATGCACAGATGGGCACAAAAAGGACACAAACAGTATGGACCTAAGAGAAGCAGAAGATATTAAGAAGAGGTGGCAAGAATACACAGAAGAACTATACAAAAAAGATCTTAATGACCCAGATAACCACGATGGTGTTATCACTCACCTAGAGCCAGACATCTAGGAGTGTGAAGTCAAGTGGGCCTTAGGAAGCATCACTACGAACAAAGCTAGTGAAGGTGATGGAATTCCATCTGAGCTACTTCAAATCCTAAAAGATGATGCTGTGAAAAGTGCTGCACTCAATATTCCAGCTAATATGGAAAACTCAGCAGTGGCCAGAGGACAAGAAAAGATCAGTTTTCCTTCCATCCCAAAGAAGGGCAATGCCGAATAATGTTCAAACTACCACACAAATGCACTCATTTCACATGCTAGCAAAGTAATGCTCAAAATTCTCCAAGCCAGGCTTCAACAGTATGTGAACCAACAAGCTGGAGTTAGAAAAGAGAGAGGAAGCAGAGATCAAATTGCCAACATCCACTGGATCATAGAAAAAGCAAGAGAATTCCAGAAAAACATCTGCTTCATTGACTATGCTAAAGCCTTTGACTATGTGGATCACAATAAACTGTGAAAAATCATTCAAGAGATGGGAATACCAGACCACCTTACCTGCCTCCTGTGAAACCTGTATGCAGGTCAAGAAGCAACAGTCAGAACCACACATGGAACAATGGACTGGTTCAAAATTGGGAAAGGAGTATGTCAAGGCTGTATACTGTCACCCTGCTTATTTAACTTTTATGCAGAGTACATCATGTGAAATGCTGGGCTGGAGGAAGCACAAGCTAGAATCAAGACTGCCAGGAAAAATATCAATAACCTCAGATATCCAGATGATACCACCCTTATGGCAGAAAGTGAAGAGGAAGTAAAGAGCCTCTTAATGAGGGTGAAAGACGACAGCTAAAAAGTTGGCTTAAAACTCAACATTCAAAAAACAAAGATCATGGCATCCGGTCCCATCACTTTATGGCAAATAGATGGGAAAACAATGAAAATGTGACAGATTTTATTTTCTTGGGCTCCAAAACCACTGCAGATGGTGACTGCAGCTATGAAATTAAAAGATGCTTGCTCCTTGAAAGAAAAGCTATGACATACCTAGATAGTGTATTAAAAAAGACATTAGTTTGCCAATAAAGGTCCTCTAGTCAAAGCTATGGTTTTTCCAGTAGTCATGTATGGATGTGAGAGTCGGACCATAAAGAAGGCTGAGCACCTCAGAATTGATGCTTTTGAACTGTGGTGTTGGAAAAGACTCTTGAGAGTCCTTGGACTGCAAGGAGATCCAACCAGTCCATCCTAAAGCAGATCAGTCCTGGGTGTTCACTGGAAGGACTGATGCTGAAGCTGAAGCTCCAATATTTTGGCCACTTGATGCAAAGAGCTGACTCATTAGAAAAGACCCTGATGCTGGGAAAGACTGAAAGCATGAGGAGAAGGGGACGACAGAGGACAAGATGGTTGGATGGCATCACTGACTCAATGGACATGAGTTTGAGCAAGCTCCGGGAGATGGTGAAGGACAGAAAAGTCTGGCGTGCTGCAGTCTGTGGGGTAGCAAAGAGTGAGACATGACTGAGCGACTCAACAACTGCCACTTGAGTTGCTAATACTCATCCTTCCTGTCTCAGGTTTCTCATCTGCAAAAATCCAGGGACTGATGGCAGATTTGTAGGGTTGCTGGGAGGACAAAATGAGATGAGGTGTGCTAACACACCATCTCCAATACTTTGGCCACCTGCTGTGAAGAGCTGACACATTGGAAAGGACCCTGATGCTGGGAAAGATTGAAGGCAAAAGGAGAAGGGAGTGGCAGAGGATGAGATGATTAGATAGCATCACCGACTCAATGGATATGAATTTGAACAAACTCTGGGAGATAGTGGGGGCTTCCCAGGTGGCGTAGTGGTAAAGAACCTGCCTGCTAATGCAGAAGACGTAAGAAACATGGGTTTGATCCCTGGGTCGGGAAGATTCCCTGGAGGGTTACAGTCCACAGGATTGCAGGGAGTCAGACATGACTGAAGCAACTTAGCAGACACACACGCATGCATGGGAGATAGTGGCAGATAGGGGAACCTGGCGGGCTGCAGTCCATGGGGTCACAAGGATTCAGACATAACTTAGGGTCTGAACAACACCACCGCCCCAGCTCAGGACTCGGCCTGGCACCGAGGAGTTTTAAAACTCGCTTGGTCCTCCATCCTTGCTGCGGAGCACAATCTACATGAGCTGTCTGGAGGGAGTGGCACTCTGTGCCAGAACCACAAATGTCAACCAAGTCAAGTCAGCACCACAAGAGGTAAATACAGGACTGTTTCATGCACCCTCCCTCCAGTCAAACAAACTTGGGGGTCTGGGCTCCCCTTCTGGGATCTCTTTTCCTCCCCTGATGGGGCTCTTTGGAACCGATCACCTGGATAAGAGCAGGGAGAAGACACCACCAGAGTGTCAGATGCCCGTACCCTTCCTCTGCGTGGACCCACATCCACTCCCTCTCTGCCTGCTGCTGTTCCCTGACCAGGGAGAAAACAATCACACCACCAAGACTCAAGTTTCTGTCTCAAAGTTCAGATGCTCCCTCAGTCCTTCCTTCTTGTGGCTCCCAGAAGCACAGTCCTTCCTAGCCCCGGCATCAGGCAAAGTGCTGGCAGGCGCTCAACACCTGTTTCTGCGAAGCCCGTGAGCATGATGTGATAAAGACAAACACAAAACCCTCTAACCTCTGAGAGAGCCTGCCCTTCATTCTCTTACCACTGCTCCTGACCACTGAGCCCTAATCCCTACTGTAGTATGTACCCATGAGCCCCAGGCACAGACTTACTCCAGCGTATCTGACACAACTTTAGGCACTGTCAGTATCTAATACATTTCGGAAGCTTTTACCATTTTTTAAAACCTTTTTATTCTGTATTGGAGTAGAGCAATGTACAATGTTGTGATGGTTTCAGGCGCACAGCAAAGAGACCCTGCCCTGAATCTTACCATTTGGACAAACTGGAACATGTTTACCTTTCCCATTTTTATTCTGGCACCGGGATTCCAACAAGGAAGCATAAATACAATATACAGAGACAGCAGACATTTACTGCCATGCATCATGTGGGGTCCCAGCGATACGGATATTGAGAATGAGCTGTTTACACCCACACGGCAGACTGTGAACTAACATGACTTTCTCTTCCACTGTCTTTGTTAACATGACTTTACTATTCTAGGAAACTCAGGCCTGGAAGGAGAAATGTTGCAAATAACCCTGTTTCAGGAACTTCCAACAAAACCATTTAAGTTCGAGAAAAAAACTATTAGATTTTTCCAATAGAGAATGACCAGTCCCCATGACTCTTGCCTCAAAACCCTGGCCTTGGTGTGACCACGTGACTAAGGACCAGTCAACGGCACGTATAGGAGGAAGTCTCTCATGGAGCTTCCAGGCGTCTTCTTTAAAAGTTAGCAGGCCTGTTCCTCCTCTTCTCCTTCATCCCTTCCCTCCCTCTGCTGATGCTCAAAGGCAGATGCAGTCCTCATGGGTCACAAGAATAATGAAGGTCACAATCCTTGGGTTGGCACAGCGGCGAACCACATGAAGTCTGGGCCTATGAGGACTTTTGCCCAATGCAACTTGTACCAGGAGTGGGAGAGAACAACAAATTTCCATTCTGTATGAGCCACCGTAATTTCAGGTCTTGGTAAACCAGTGGGATTTAATCTTACACTGATAGAATGAATGTGATAGAGTCCCTACCCTTACCAACTTGCTGTTTACTCCTAAATTCATACTTTAAACCTTGCCCCACATATTCACACATTGTCACTGGTGGCAGTATATTTCAAAGGGCAGGTGAAAAAGGAGATAAGATTATTTGTGCAAGTACAAGCTTTACTAAGGCATGAGACATCTGCAGAAGGGGCTCAGACTCGTTCCAAATACCTGATGTGGATTTGCCCATCTGGCTGGTCCACTGCCCAGCAATGGGTCCAAAAGATAAGCAAATCAAAGCAGCAATATGCAAAAAGGATTACCAAGTGGGTTTATCTAAAGGATGTAAGCTTTCTCAGCATCTGAAAATGAAAGTTTGTCATTTTGATATAATAAAGATTAAA